ACTTTGGTAAAAATTCACAGACAGCACATGATATATTTTATAACCCTACATTAGGTTTTCTTCTTTTTTTAAAAAAGTTCTTGTTCCTCTTTATTTCTTCTATTGTCCATGGGGAAGTGAAAAAGGGAAACTTTCCTCCCTAAGCCATTTCGTGTCGTATGAGGCGACTTTAAAAAGCCGGGAGCAATGGGGTGTAAACCCCCTTTTCCCGTAGACTTTTAAATAAAAAAGAGAAGAAGAAAAAAAATTTATAAAAATGGGAAGTTAAAAGGGGCGTGGATGTAGTGCGGGGTGACAAGGAAAAAATGATTGCTGAAAGTTATAAAGAAAGAAGTTGGAGTCCCGACCCTAAAGGAAAAAAGTTAAAAGGGGGTTTGGGGAGTTTCGGTGGGGGAAAAAAATGGGATTAAATCTGGAGTATCTGAGAGGGTTAGAGCAAGGAAGGGGTAGCAGTAATGTTGAAAGATCGTTTTTGGGGAAAGGGGAAAAAAAGGAAAATGGGAAAGTGTTTAAAAAAAGTAAATTTTGGGATTAAAGTAAAAAGGTTTGGGTGCGGGGAAGTGGGTCCCTAATAAGCGTGTATGCACCTGGGGGGAAGAGAGGAAGCAGAAGGGGGAGAGAGGATTTTGGGAGATGTTGGGGAAAGTATAGGGGGCCTTTGAACCCAAATGAGGGGAGTAAATTTTGGGGTTGGGGACCTGAATGCCCAAAGTAGGAGAAAATTTTTGAGAGGATGTGGTAGGTAAGTTTGGGGTGCCAGGGTGTAAAAAATAAGGGGCCCTTTTATTTAAAATTTTTATAGAAAGGGGTTTAGTTATAGGTAATACATTTTAAGGGAAAAAAAAGGGGTAAATAAAATATTTCAAGATATGATGTAGGGCGAAATGACGTAGTTTGTTGGGAAATTTTTTTATTGGTAGATAAAAAACTGTTGAGTAGACTTTAGGATGGTTTTTTGTTTTTAGAGGGGGCCCCCAGATATTCGATCATTTCAGTTGTGCTACACTGAGAGTAAAAGGTTGATGGGGTTAAAAAGGGGGAATAGGGGAAAAATCAGGGGAAAAAGAGAGGTGAAGGGTTTTTAAACTAAAAGAGGAGGGCCCGTTGGGTTTAAAATATAAACCCAAAAATTTGGGGGTAGATGGGTAAAGAAAAGCATAGGCAATGGGGTAAGGGGGGGGGGAAAAGGTTTTGGGGTAGGGTTTTAAAAAAGTAGTGTTTTTTGTGTTCAGCAGAAGTTTGTGGTTACAGGGAAAAGGGGTTTGGGGGGGGAAGAGGGGGCGGGTTGGGGGAATGATGATGTAAGAGGTGTAAGGGGGAAAAAAATTTAGCATTTTGAGAAGTTTTTACAAAGTGGGAAATGATGCAAGGAGGGAAGGTATATGGGGAAAAGGAGGAGGTTTAAGAGGTGGGGAAGCAAATTTAAAAAAAAGAGAAATGAGAGAGGGGGGTGAGATGGTTTTTATCAAAATTTGTTGAAAAATAAAAAAAAAAGTTTTGGGGGGGATTAAACAAGTTAAAAAAGCCCAGAGAAAAAAATGGATTTGGGCGTTTAAAAAAAAGGGAGAGGAGGGGGTTATTAAATGGGGTTAGGGGGTATTGGGGAAAATGGGGGAAAATTTTGAGGAATTTTTAAATGTTTATGAAAATTTGGGAAGCTGTGATTTTTTTGTATTTGGGGCCCCAAAAAGGGAAAAACATCTTGTAGGGTGAGGGGAAAAGCCAGTTTTGAGGGGGTGGGGGGAAGTTCGTGAGGCGTAGGGAAAAAAGAAAAAGGGGGGAAGGGAGCCCGGGAATTTTATGGGATAAAGATAGAAATGTTAAAAACAGGGGGGAGTAAAAGTTTTGGAAGTGGTTGGGGGAATTAAATTTTAAAAAAGTATGGAAGAGGGTAAGGTACCTAAGGGATGGGCAGGAGCATGGGATAGTTCCTTTGTATAAAGGCCCAAAAGGGGGTAAAAAAGAGTGCAAAAATTATAGGGGGGGGAAAAAAGTCTGTTGGTATACCCGCAAAGTGTTTTGGTAGAGTTATTATTTAAAAAAAATTTTTAGTAAGACGGGGGATAGGATTTGAGATGGGAACCCAAAGGGGCTTTAGGAAAGGTAGGGGGGGTGTGGGAAACCGGTTTTTTTGCCCGTGAAAAATATAAAATGAAAAAGTATTTAGATAAGGCTAAAGAGGTCTTTGTGGATTTTATGGATTTGGAAAAGGCGTATGACAGGGTGGAAGGGAGGCAATGTGGCAGATGTTGCAGGTGTATGGTGTAGGAGGTAGGTTACTGAAAGCAGTTAAGAGTTTTTACGAGGATAGTGAGGCTCAAGTTAGGGGTATGTAGGAAAGAGGGAAATTTTTTCCCCAGTAAAAGTGGGCCTTAGACAAGGATGTGTGATGTCACCGTGGTTGTTTAATATTTTATAGATGGGGTTGAAAGAGAAGTAAATGCGAGGGTCTTGGCAAGAGGCGGGGGAGTTAAAGATAAAGAATCACAATAAAGTGGGAGTTGTCACAGTTGCTCTTTGCTGATGACACTGTGCTCTTGGGAGATTCTGAAAAGAAGTTGCAGAGATTGGTGGATGAATTTGGTAGGGTGTGCAAAAGAAGAAAATTGAAAGTGAATACAGGGAAAGGATAAGGTTTTGAGGATAACAAAAAGATTAGGTTGGGTGAAAGATTGGATATCAGATTGGAAGGAGAGAGTATGGAGGAGGTGAATGTTTTCAGATTTTTTGGGAGTGGACGTGTCAGCGGATGGGTCTATGAAAGAAGGTGAATCATAGAATTGATGGGGGGAAAAGGGGGAGTGGTCACGGGGATCTGGGGGAGACAAAAAACTTTGTCCTTGGAGAAAAAGGGGGGAAATGTATGAGTTATAGTTTTAAACCAACGCTCTTATTGGGTGTGAAGCGGGGTGTAAATGTTGCGCGAGGAGAAGGCTGGAGGCAGTGGAGTGTCATGTCTGAGGCAATGTGTGGTGTGAATATAATGCAGGAATTCGTATTTTGGGAAGTTAGGAGGGGGTGGGGGTTTAAAAAAAAGTTGTCCAGAGGGTGAGGGGGGTTGTTGAGGTGGTTCGGACATATGGAAAAAATGGAAAGCAAAACAAAATTTAACTTCGGGTGTATCGTCTGTAGTGGAAGGAAGGCAGGGTAGGGGTCGGCCGAGGAAAGGGTTGGGGGGGGGGTAAAGGGGTTTTGTGTGCGAGGGGCTTGGACTTCCAGCAGGCATGCGTGAGCGTGTTTGTAGGATGAATGGAGAAAATGGTTTTTAAATACTTGCTGCTGTTGGAGTGGAGCAAATAACATTTGTGAAGGGGTTCAGGGAAAACCGGGGCATTCCGGCTTGGTCCTGGAGAGGGGAATACGTGCCTGCCCTCTGAAAAAGGGGTGTTTAATGTTGCATTTTTAAAAACGTTGTAAAGCACCCTTCGGGAAAAGACATGAGGGAGTGAATGATGGTGAAGTTTTTTTTTTTTTTGGGCCCCTGCCTTGGTGGGAAATTTGGCCAGTGTGATAATAAAAAAAAATAAAAAATAATTTAGTTTTCCGGGTCTCATTTTGTAGAAGGAAGACATTACAGAATTGAGATGATTTTGATTTTTTTCACAATAAAAAAGTCCCTTGAAATTGACTAAAGTACCCAAAAAATGTTCGATTTTTCCCGAAGTTCGATAGAAAACAAATCATGCTAAAGCCAAAAAAACATCAACTGGGGTCTAATATTTTTTCACAAGTGCTTTGAATATTTATACCTTTCTACACTAAGCAGTTGTCTGCATAACATAAATCTTCTTTTTTTTGCGAGAATAAAAATTCAAAGGGGGAAAAGCAAAAGAAATGTAAGAGGGGGGCCTGGGGGGGGTGTGACTGTTAAACAGGGGAAAAATTTTATTTTAGTGCCAGGGAATGTCGTTTTTTTTATTCGGCCCTATTTGGGAAAATTTGGCTTTTTTTTGAAATTTTGTGAAATTGGAAAAATTGCAAATTTTGACCACTTTATTGGATAGTTGAAATTGGAAAAATTGGGGGTTTTTCTTGTACTCATTCGTAAAAAAATAGTTCTTTTTTTGTCGCTAGTACACTGGAATTTGGGCTAAAAAAGGGGCCCCCAAATTCGGAAAATCGTGATGCGTAAACATCGTTGGACCACTAAATTTGCAGAGCATAACTCCGTAATTTTCCCCCATAATTTCAACTTTTGGTGTTTTATGTTTGGGGAAAGTTCTCTAATTTTTCATAAGAAAAAAAAAATTTTTTTTTTTTTTTTAAAAATTTGTTGCCCCCTGAGAACAAGTCTGGGAGAGGGCCTGTCGCCCCTAAGGGGTTAAAATATTGTTTTTTTATTTTTAAATTACATGAATTGTGATAGAAAATAAGCTGTAGAGTTGATTTAGGTAATTTTTAAAAGTATTTTCTTGTGCTGGAATTCCCGGGAACGAAAAAATTCCATTTCAATTAATTTAAATGAGGAAAATTGACTCGAAAACGAGCAAATCATTTTTGAGAAAGGTCATGGAAGGTTTAAACCATAAGTAGGGGTTTTCCACTGTACAGATTGTATCTGTTCTCAGGAGACAGATTCAAAATATGGGTAAAAACTTCATGTTACTGCCCCCCTTTTTTTAACCCTTTGTTTTTTACTTAAAATCCCAATTTTTGGTTTTGATGTGTAATTAATAACTTACAAAAATTTAGCCAGACAATTTTAATTAATTTTAAGAAAAGGGTACAGTACTGTACTAAAAGCCCCACCCCTGGACTAGGGTTGTTATGAACAACAACTTGGTAAAAGTTTCGGCCCCCCCACTCTCCTCATCTCCTTCGTTCCTCTTCCCCATCCTATTCCCTAGTTTGACCCTTTATTCCTTGCATTTTTTTTTTCTCTCCCTTAATTTTTGGAAATTACGAAATTACAAATTATCGTTGCTCTGCATAATTGTTAAAGATCCTCAAATTTTACCAGTTGTTTATATGCTTTTACATTAAACCATGGTACTTTGCAGGTACTATGTGGTACACCTTCACCTTTTTTGGGTGAAACTTGCAGGATGAAGGAAGCAGAGCGTTCCCCTTCCCCCTGGAGTGGGGGTCTGGGCGTGCAGGACCCAGAGGGTCAGTGGCTTCACTAAGCCCTGGGGGGCGGTTTTCCCATGAGCTGTTTCGTTTTTCCCCCGACATGCTGAGGCAGCTTACGCCGCAGGGGCATATTATGCCGTGGCCAACTCTGTGATGTTACATTGGTGCAGGTTAGTTTACACTTTCATACAGTAACAAAATTAATATACAAAAGATATTTGGGAATAAATTGGCCCAAATTTTGTAACATATTTTTTTTTTTTCACTAAGGGCCCCCATGCACTTTTTGCTCAGTGAAAAGCCCCTTTGTTTCTGCATATCGTATTGGCTTGTTTGGCCATAGAGTTCTATAAAACATTTCCTCAGTTTGCATGTCTTCATGTTTGTGATTTTTTGTTAACCCTTTTGGCCCTTCACTCGGGCCCTAATTTTGGTCAACAGTTTAAAGGATGGGATCCTTTGGGGTACTTGATGGGGATGGGTTTTTGTTTGTTGGCAATGTAGAAAGGAAACATCCCCCACGTCTCCCCCATTGGTTGGGGGTGGCAGCATCGAGAACGTGCAGAACGAAACTCCCCCTTTCCCTAGTAGCTCAGTGACCCTCTGCAAGATCCGAGGGGTCTACAGTTTCCCACAAGACCCCCCGGGTCTTGTAGGATCTGTAGTCCCTAAAATTCTTTTCCCGGCCTTGGGCCTTGTATTTTCCTCGTTTTGGGCAGTGCATAGCCTCCCACCTCTAGGGATCCTTTCATGCTTTGGTCTTCCTCCACTCGAGCCCTTTTGGGTTTTCCCCCTCCTAGAATGGGGTGATTTAAAAAACCCTTTAGTTGGGTTGCTCCACCGGTTGGTGTGGGTTCCTGAAAGACATTTGCTCTTTCCATTGCCCACAGGGGGGTCCATGTTGTTTAGGTTTTTTCCTGTTGTTTCTTAGGCCTTCCAACCTCAATCCATTTGGTTTTTTCAGCCATAACTTGTTACCCATTTTTTGGACCCTTTTTCTTAGGATAGAAGGTGGGGGAGGGTCTGACACAGCCCTGTTTTTTTTTCCAAGATCTTTTTTTTTGGTGGAAAAGGGGGAAAATCATTCATTCCTTATTTTTTAAAATCTGAACTTTTGTTGCCCCTTTTGGGAAAGATTTTAAATGGTACATTTTCAAGGTTTTCTTTTTCTGGTTCGCTTGAGTGGGCTCCCTGACTTTCTTCTACCCGGGCCCTTTTTTCATGTTGCAATTTTATGGGAATTCTGCAGGTTCTTTTCCTTTTACTTGGGGGTTGAGTTATAGTTTGTGCTATGCTTCTGGGGTTAAGATAGCACCATGGGTTAGTCTTCATTGCCACCCCTTTAAGGAGCGGTCTGTGTTCATTAACTGGTGAACATGGTGCTGGCTTATCTTTTTCTGACATCGCGATCTTTAGCAGGTGCTTGAGTAGAGGGGAATAGGGGATAATGGATAATAGGAAGGAATTTGGATGGCATATTCCCAAAAATGCTACTCATTGGGTTTAGGGAAAAAAAAGTCAACCCAAATTAAATAAAGAAACCCCGTGTGGTAGGATTTTTTTTTGTAACCCTGATTGAAATGTGAGAAGGAATTACCTTTTTTTTTAAGTTTCTGATAGTTAATAAAACTAAGGAAAAAAGGAAACTGCAGCAGGCCCACTGGCCCATGCGAGGGAGGTCCCAAACTCCCACTGGCTTCAGCTAATGCCTTAACCTAGTCAGGTCACCACATCACTTAAGGAAGGAGCACATCATCTAAACCCAGTAGACAAGCTAGTCAGGGCCAGCTCAACCCCCTCGTGTATTTTTTTTTTTTTTTTTCCCTGGCCGATTCCCCCAAGGCGGGGGCCGAAAAAGAAAAACTTTTACCATCTTCACTCCATCACTGTCTTGCCCGAAGGGGCTTTACACTAAGTTTTTTAAAAAGAATATTTAACACCCCTCCTTCAGAGTGCAGGCCTGATTTCCCTCTCCAGGAACAAATCCGGCCTTCCGGGTTTCCCGAATCCCTTCATAAAAGTTACTTTTCTCACACTCCCAAAAGCACGTCAAATTTAAAAAACCCTTTGCCCCCATTCACTCCTATCAAACATGCCACGCATGCCTGCTGAAGTCCAAGCCCCCGCAACAAAACCTCCTTTTCCCCCTCCCTCCAACCCTTCCCGGCCACCCCTACCCCGCCTTCCTTTTCCCTACAGACTGATACACTCTTGAAAATCATTCTGTTTGCTCCATTCTCTCTAATTCCAACCACCTCAACAAAACCCTCCTCAGCCCCCTGGACAACAGTTTTGGTAAACCCGCACCCCCCTCCTAAATTTCCCAAAATTTCGAATTCTCTGATTATATTCACACCACACATTTTCCCTCAACAACATTTCCCCTGCCCCAGTTTTTCCCGGCACATTCTTTACCCACGTTCAC